GCCTGACGGAGGCCCAGGACAGTGGTGAAGAAGCCAAGAGATGACCTGGGAAGGTCCAGCAGAGGCCATGCTTCCCTCGCCCCTGTCCCGCCCGTTGCTGTCCTGTCTGGGCAGAGAAGAGCTCAGGCAGGAAAGTCTGGGGAGAAACCAACCTTTTACTGCCAAGCGGGGGAGGTCGCCCCCACTGCGCCTCTCTTTATCTGGCCCCGCTTCTCTTGACTGGAAGACTAGACTCTTCCTGTTGCCGGACACCCTTGAGAAACGGCTCCTTCGCTTGTACCCCGTATTGCAGCCCAGCTAAACCACCCTCTTTCAGCAAAGGGGTCCCATCCCCCGCTTTGTGCCGTCCACTTGCTCCCCTCCCCTTCCTCTCTGTCCTGCCCTCCAAGAGGCAGTGCCTGGCCTGCCATTTCAGCATCTTGATCATCAGTGGAGGAAGGCCTGGTGCGCTGTGTACCCCAGGACGCTGCCCCTCGGATGGGGGTCCTGCAGCCCAGGGCAGGGACAAGGACTGTCAGAAGGACAGAGTGACTCTGAGAGGAGCAGACTTTGCAGTTTCTGTCTGTCTCGAACACGGCGCCTGGCCACAATCGAAGGCGAGCTGGGCACACTGAGATCCCAAGCATCTCCTGTCTTGCACAGACGCTGGGCTGGGGTGACCACAGGACAGGATGTTCAGGGCTTCGGCCATCCTGGAACAGAGCAGGTGTTAAAAGTAGGGTAAGCAAACTTCCTCCTGCACAAGCCTGCCCTGGGATGCTCCTTAGATGCCGGGGGGGACATCCTGGGGGGGGCAGCACAATCAACTGAGAGGAAGCCAGAGGCCACCCATTGCAGCAAGGCATTGTTTGCCGGTTGGCCGCGGCAGGAGCAAACCAAGGTTGGTCAAGAAAGTCAACATGGCAGCCTCAACCAGGCAACAGGAGCCCCATCCTCCAACTGTGGTGGTGGCCATCTTGATTTTTTTGACTCTCTCTTCTCCCCCTGGACAGCCCTAGAGCAGCGGTCCCCAACCTTTCCAGCTTTGTGGACCAGCGGGGGCTGGAGGGGATGGTTGTGTGTAAGCAGCGCGTGCCTGCCCGCCGCTTCCACAACCCAGTCCCAAATAAGCCGCAGCCCGGTAGTGGCCGTGGCCCGGGGTTGTGGACCCCTGCCCTAGAGCAAAGCAGCACCTTGCCCTGATGTGGAGGGAGATGGATGGGGAAGAGGACCAAGGCTAGACTCCCCAGGAACACAAGGCAGAGATTCTGGCGGGTGCCTCCGCTTGTTTCCTCGGGGTGAAGCTGAGAAAGGAGAACGGCTGAGTTCACACAACACCCTTACCCAGAGATCGAGCGAGCCTGCTACCTTGGTTTGCCAGATATCCCGAATGACCCAATTATAGGTTGGCGCAACATGCTAAAATCACACACAACCAACACACACAAAGACCTTATTGCTAACATTTTCCCAGCTGGCCTGTGGGGGAGATATAGCTTGTAATTGGCTTGGCTTGGCGTGCTGTGTGAACACAGCCCCTCTGGTGGTTCTGTTCTTCCCGCGTGTTGTGAGAACACAGGAGGCTTTTCGAGGCTCGCTCTTGCCCTGGTTGGAATCCATACAGGAAGGTGCTTCAACTACCCGGAGCTGCAGCGTCTGCCTCCCTCCCACAGGGCTGCAAGGGGGCTGCCCTCACCCAAGGGGGCAACAGCAGACGCTCCCCGGAGGGTGCACAGAGCACATAGGGGTGGTGGACCCTCTCCAGTGAGAAGGGGCTGCCTCTGGGTCCAGGAAGGAGGGACTGGAGCAGGGTGGAAGCAACATTTGGGGAAAGAAGCAGTGGGCGAAGGGAGAAGACAGAAGTCAAATTTCATTTTTGGACAATAATGTAGAGGAAGATCCTGCTTCCCTTTTTTGCAGCTTTCCTCGCTGGGAGGAGCTATTCAGGGTTTGTCCTGCCTGGCACCCTCATCCCCCTTTTCCACTGCACACTTCCTCTGCTTCCTGCTTAACTGTGTGGTGTGTGTGTGTGTGTGTGTGTGGCGGCCCTGGCCACATCCTTTTCCTTTCGTGCGGTGACTTTTGTGCAATGGCATTTGGCCAAGGAGCCAACCAACGATAAAAGACTTGTTTCTGCTGGGCTGTGAGTTACTCAAGTGATGTTGTGCAGGTTATTTCAGCCAGGACTGTAGTGTGCGGGCAGCCTTTCCCCTTCAGAAANGTGTGTGTGTGTGTGTGTGTGGCGGCCCTGGCCACATCCTTTTCCTTTCGTGCGGTGACTTTTGTGCAATGGCATTTGGCCAAGGAGCCAACCAACGATAAAAGACTTGTTTCTGCTGGGCTGTGAGTTACTCAAGTGATGTTGTGCAGGTTATTTCAGCCAGGACTGTAGTGTGCGGGCAGCCTTTCCCCTTCAGAAATCCTAAAGCCCTTCCTTGTCGCCCCCCCAGTTGTAAACGACAAAAAGGGACCGGTGTTAAATACAGGAAGAGCAACGATCTCGAGTGTTAATTCCATATAAATTTCAGCTTTTTTAAAGCTGAAGCTTGCCCCAGCTCTACCTCTTTGGGGTGTGCGTCCTTGGCACATCACCCCAAAGACGAGGGCAAGACCTTGTGCCCGCTGCTCACCTCAAGCCCCTCTGCTCAGAGGTGCCTCAAGGCTGAGCGTTAACACAACGTGAGTCTCCATTCCTTCCCACTGGATGACCCCACCAGTCATCACAAGAAGTTTCATAGGTTGCATTTTAGTACGAAACTTTTTCAAGAATCCTGCTTCTGTATAAAATCAAAACGCATGAATAGGATAGGCTTTTTTGAAAAAGATCACATCATTCTTTCTATAAAACGGGGGCTTCTGATAAAATCTTTCCATAAGCTTTTCTTGCAGAGTTATCACACCCACCTGGTGGCATTCAAAGGACTGTAGCACACTGACCATCAAACGCCTTTCTCCCACGCGTTCTTCCAGCCTTCAAACCCCAAGAAATATTTAAAAACTGTAGGGGACTAGCTGGTTAATTGGCCTGGTCAACTAATTAATGGCAAGATAGTGTACAGCTCTGGTTACTTCATGCTCAAGAGGAATAAAACCCCAAAGATCTTGCTAATTCTTTCAAATTGGTGTGCGAACTTCCAGCCTCAGGTCACTTTCTGATCCCAATCTTCCTAATTAGGAATTAACTACATGATGCATTTAAGGCTAGTTCTGAACCAATGACCAGAAGCTATATTAACTTCTGCATCAAAACAAAGATAATTGTAGGCACCTTAAAGTCTGTGATCAACAAAAGCTTGTGGAATAGCAGATCTTTAAAGAATTACTAGATTTCTTGCCATTTAAAAAAGATACGCTGAATAAATCTATAGATTCATGGCACAGAACGAAAGAACATTAATCTTTCCTCTCTGGTCCATTTTTCTGTTAAAACATATAAAGATCCTTATGCTAATTCACCCAGTGAATTTTATTTATTTACTAGACAACCCGTGCTCTGATGGGTCATTGTTTTAGAAATATTTCCTTGCCAGATTCCTCAATAACTTCGAGAATGGCAGAGCTTCTAACATACTTGAAAAGTTCTTAAAAATTCAGGGTGATATTCAGAGATGTATCGGCCTTGGAAATAGCCCATGTTGAATTGTATAGCACAAACACTGACCAGAGGAAAAAATTTGTGACATTTTTATTACATCACAAAACGCTAATTTTTAATCGTAAAATATTTTATAAAATTTGCCAGATTTCAATTCTACCAGAGCTATATTTCCCAGATTTTGAAGACACTCTGTAAGTTAGCCCGCCTGAGGTATACTGGTTGAAAAGGTTTTAGCCTATGATGTACCCTTTCCCCCCAGTTAAAGGTTACAGACACAAGAGTTTTAGCGGTGGATAGATTTAGATTTTATTTATTTATTTATTTATTTAGTAAATTTAGATGGCTGCCCATCTCGCACAAAGTGACTCTGGGCAGAATACATTGAACTTAGGAACGACGCAACGTTTCTCTGACAAAATTGGCAAAACTGAAGTTTACAAAAATAAAAAAAATAAAATAAAGAGAGCTGGAGTGTGATACATTATTTACTACAAATGGCACCTTATTGAGCAAACTACGTGTAAGTGATCCTTTGCTTGACTCAAGACAATTTGGAAGTGGGGGGGGGGTTCCCCTTCATCACTCCCCAACTTCATCTTTCTCTCTCTCCCCCACCCTTCAATATGACTTGGAGCTGACCACACACAGCCGGAAGGCTACCTTGTGTCTTTGTGGCCCTGGACCCCCACAGCCATCCCATCCCTGAATTTCACTACAGCTGTGTCAAGATCCCTTAACATGGGGAGGGGGGGGCTATGGATGGCCTCCCCCAAGCAGAAACTCACCTTCACCTCCTCTGGCCCAACAGGACTGGGTTGCCTGCGAGGCGGGGAGGGAGGGGGAGACTTCCTCTGGGACAGTATCCTGCCCGGAGGTTTGCTGTACAATCCTGGCAATTGCAAAAGTTTTCAGGGGAAGCAGCGCAGATGGCGCAAAAGGAAAGGTTTATATTGAGGATGGCACACAAAGATCTGGCTAAAAAGTACCAGGACAGATTTTTGGATAGAAGAGCGGTTCCCAAACTCTGTAGAATGAGAGAGAATAAATGCATCCAAAGTTCCTTCCCAGATTTTTTACCTGCTTCCTGTTAGCCTCAATTGAGGTCCACACGGACAACCTGTCTAATCAGATCACTGGAGAGTTTGCCTCAAAGAGAAAATTGCCAGGAGCCCTCGCTGCATCTTGTGTCAGTGGGTCCCCTAGAGTTGCTGTGAGCAGGGTACCAAAATCCTTGGAAGGAGATGCCGGCAGCAATAATTCAGCACATAAAAAAGTGGCATTTAACACAACTTGCTGCTTCTAGCACAAAGAGAAGCACGGCGGTGGGGAGGGGATCGCAAGGCCTGAGTCTCTATTAAGCATCGCTCCCTTCCGGGACGTAAAGCAGAAAAGGCTGGTCTTCCACGGTCACCAAAAATCTCTTTTAGGAAACCTGCAAATGTGAGAACACACATGTCCATTAAGGAGTCAATGCCGCTGGGGTTTTTTTGGCACCGTCAGATTTCTCCACTTCCTGATGCAAAGGTGCCTTAGGAAAGCAACTAGATCTAGAGCAGTGGTTCTCAACCTTTTTAATGCCGCGACCCCCAACCGGTCGTAAGTCGAGGACTAAACCGCTCGTACGTCGAGGACTAAACCGCTCATAAGTTGAGGACTACCCAACCGGTCGTAAGTCGAGCACTTTCCCTGCCCGGGAGCGCCGCGCATGCGTGGTTCCACCCCCTGCGCCGGCCGAGGCGTAGCTGGCAAGCGGCAGAGACGGAGCAGGCCGACCACCAGCTGGCCCAGCCCAAGGGAGGTAAGGCACCCGCCGGAAAAGGGAAAAAAAAAATGGCGGACAGCCTTGCTTGGCGACCCCCGTGAAATGGTCGATCAACCCCAAATGAGGTCGCGACCCATAGGTTGAGAACCGCTGATCTAGAGCTTGGCTGGGCTGCATCCAGGCCTTGGGTTCTAAGGAAGACTCTTGGCTTTGGGAACAGGTGTTACTGAATGTCAGAACCAGGCTTGCTATCTAGGGGCATGCACAGTTGGAATCCTCCATCTGGCCAGGAAAGGATCTAGTGGAAGAAATCATCTTTGGTCTGGCAGGGGTCAGCAACCTTAAACACTCAAAGAGCCACTTGGACCCGTTTCCCACAGAAAACACTGGGAGCCTCAAAACACGTGTGCGCACGCACGCGCACCAGAGGAGGGGGCTTGATTGAAGAGTTTAATTAAAAAGAAATAAAGGCTGCTGTGCATGAGTTCTCTCTCTCTCTCTCTCTCTCTCTCCCCCACCCCTTCTCTCTTCCTCCCCCCTCACTCTCTCCCCCTCTCTCCGATCTTCTGCTCACCTGGCCAACTGGCCTGACGCTGTTCTCCGACAAGCTGACACACATTCTTATTGGGCTGGCTCTCTCCTGCCCTTGGTCTGCCAGTCCTCTTCCCCCACTCAGTGTGAGTGTGTGTGTGTGAGAGAGAGAGAAAGAGAGAGAAAGAGCTGCTGCTTTGTGCTGCTTCCTGCGGAGATGCAACAAGGGCAGGGAGCCCGCCCAATAAGCTTGTCAGCTTGTCGGAGAACAGCGTGAGGCCACTCTCTTTTTTACACATACACACACAGAGAGGGGGGGGGGAAGCACAAGTGCGCACATGCGGTTCCGGAGCCGTGGGTTGCCAACCCATGGTCTGGCTGGACACCCCCAGTGCTGCTGTGCAGAGGCAGCACCGTAGACTGCTGAACTTCCTTTCAGAGGGCATCTGGAGCCACCCAACGTTCCTCAGAGGCAGGAACAGAAGTCAGCTAAATCTCTCACAAGGCTTCTGAATTATTTTCCCTGCAAAGGGATTTCCCTGGACGACTGGGAACCCAGATGCTGCAAGTATTCACAATCGGGGGATCATCGAGAGCCAACAGATTCCAGGGGCTACAAAAACTTCCAAGTCTGCTCAGCAGCTCTCCCTGCTTTGGGCAGAATAACAAAAGTGGCCTTGCCCTTGTGGGACCTTGTGCTGCCAGCTTTTAGCTTTGTGTGCGACACTGGGCTTGTCAAGGCTGCCTCTACTCAGATCCTAGGAAAGAAAAACCCTCCGCTCCATAGATTTAGAGAAAAGGTACTTTGAGTAGGAAAGAAGTGGCTGCAGTTAATTCTTTCCTCATAAAAGTAGCTTTTTTTCTAAATCTTATGGAGGGAAGGGTTTTTCCTTTCCTAGGAGAGGCAGCCATGACAGGGATGCTTGTGGCTTGACAACCCGGCACATTTTCCATCACGCTGATCCCCTTGGCACACACACCCACACAGAAACACCCATGTGCTGCTGGGCCTGTCTGAGCTGAGACAGCAGTAGGAAGGAACAGCACACTAGGGCAGGGGTCTCCAAACTTGGCAACGTTAAGCTGTGGACTTCAACTCCCAAGAATCCCTCAGCCGGTATAGAGTTCTAGGAGTTTGAAGTCAAGTCTTAAAGTTGCCAAGGGTGGAGACCCCCCCCCCCTGCATTTAGGGCTGTGGTAGCAAACCTATGGCACACGTGCCACAAGTGGCACTCAGAACCCTCTCTGTGGGCACGCGCGCCGTCGCCCCAGTCCTAGGCCTTCAGCTGGGTTTTATAAAACCTTTTCGCTTTAGGCCTCTGCCGCCGTGTGCAAAATAAAGAAAAAAGGTTCAATCAATCAATCAATTTCAACTTCTTGCAGGAAAAAAAAAGATCTCGCAAAGTTGGAATTGATTGATTGAACTTTTTAGTCCCACCCAGTCTGCCGTTACCACCGCAGCCACGCCCACCCAATGGGCCACACCCACTCAATGGGCCACACCCACCCGGCACTCGATGATGCATAAGTGGGTTTTGGGTTGCAGATTGGGCACTCGGTCTCTAAAAGGTTCGCCATCACTGATTTAGGGCATCCAGCCACAGAAAGACAAGCGTGTTCCCCAGAGAAGCAAAGTTACGTGCTGCACCTTTGGAAATTCTCTTCTGAACAAGCGAGTGATTCCATCGTGCTGAATCAGAAGGCTCGGGAAAAGTGCCTGGACAGCCTCACAGGCTCGGACAAAGTCCTTCTTCACCACAATCGCCTGAAAGAGAGGAACGCCGGGCAGTGAGCAGATCGGCGCTGAAGCTGCCACCGTCTCAGGCCAGATTAAAACAAGTCTCCCATCTTGTGCTCCCGTGCAGTCCAACCAACAGCCACAAAGCAAAGCAAAGGAGAGAGAGGCAGCCAGACGAGGCGGGTTCACCCAAAGACAGGGACCAGACCAGCAGTGGACGTTAGTGACAAGGGAGCCCTTTTCCTGAGAAGGACAGAAAATAACCCTCCTTGGATCAGACCAAGGCCCAGTGACATGGTTCCGAAAAGAAGCAGCTTTACAAAGAACTTTGAGGCTTGATTACCTTAAAGAATCCTTTAATTGGCTACATCGCTTCGGCACGAACAATAGAAAGCCAAAAACTGAAACCCCCACCACCCAAGCACTCGTGACAACACACAACTCCCTCCCTCCTTTCACAGTCATCAATCATATGCTCCAATTAATTTGAAGTGTGAATCGCTCCCTCCCTATTTCCCCGTTACGCTGACCTTGGCCGTGCTATGCAAAGATATTGTTATGATTAGCTGGCATACTTTCCCACTCACTGGGTTAACATTGTCTGCTTTAACTCTTGAAGTGATATGTAGGCTGAATAAGATATGTTTGCTTCTTCACATAGGGCAAGCAAGAACATCCAATGTTAGCAGACTTGACACCCAGCTGATGCTGTGCTGTGTTGAGCTGGAAACCTCATCTTCAAGGCTTGAGGAAATGGCCTTTCCCTGTCTATTACACACACACACACACACACACACAGCCCCGGCTGTATTCCAGTCTGGAATGCAGCACCTATAGAATAAATGGGCCTTACCTTCCTTAATGCATTAACCTAATCTTATCTAACTTTGCAACCTTTTCTAGGCTTGGAAGCCAAGCAGGGGCAGGTCTGGTTGATATTCGGATGGGGGACCAGAAGGAAATTGGGAAGGCGAAGAAGCATTCTGGAGGAAAGAAATGCAAGCTACTTCCAAGCCGTGGCTGCCTCTCCTTTCCCCTTAATCGGTGCAGTTGCAGCAACTTCACAAATTCATTATTCCCTTGATCCTCCTGTCACCTGATCACAGCAGAGCCCAGAATCACATCCACCAAGCATTTCTGGTCTGGATTTCCCTTTACTTGGCATGCCTCTCACAACTTCGCTGCCCTCCTTGGGGAACTCTGGCCAGATGCCAACAATGCGGTGTGTTCGGTTCCCCATCCATTTAGACCAGGGGTAGTCAACCTTGGCTCTTTTATGACTCGTGGACTTCAACTCCCAGAATTCCTGAGCCAGCTTAGCTGGGTCAGGAATTCTGGGAGTTGAAGTCCACGAGTCATAAAAGAGCCAAGGTTGACTACCCCTGATTTAGACAGTCCTGCATCGTCATTTCGCACAGCCGATTTTCCCTCTTTGACCAACCACCTACTGAAAAATCCAGAAACTCCATCGCAGCTCCAGGATTTGCTCGGATGGCTTTGAGGATGCCAAGGCAGCCTTCATTCTGGATGGGGTTCCTGGACATCTGCAGATCACAGGAAAGAACAGACACCCTCTGGATCACCCACCGGGCAGGGCTATTAGGATCTCAGGGTCACCTTCCCAAATGCTCCTCACCTTGAGTCTCCTCAGATTCTTGTTTCCTTTCAGGCCCGAAGCAAGCGCGAGGGCTCCTTCCAAGGCGATGCGGTTATTACTGAGAATAAAGAGAAAAGGCACTCAGAAGTCCCCCACTTTTGCTCTTCCTGCACGCCTGTGCACTGACCCACACTAGCTTGCTGTTGGGAATAAGTTAATCTACCAACTATGATAAGAGATTGAATCTTCCCTCTTAGTTAATACATTTAAACGTTTTAGAGTTTGGTCAGGTCTAAAGACGCCAATTAGGGAAGTAGCAAAGGAACTAACTTCAGCAGACATTCTCTTCCGAGGAAAATGTTGCCCATCAAAATGATTTTTTTCCCCTGGGTGCCCCAAACACTAAGCCAGAGGGAGAATAGTTGAGGGTGACAGTGTTGGAGCACCCACAACTTCAGAAACTGTGGCTGCTCATTACTGGAGGCTTTTAAGAAGAGGCTGGACAGCCACTTGTCTGGAATGGTATAGGCCCGCAGGGGTCGGCAACCTGAAACACTCAAAGAGCCACCTGGACCCGTTTCCCAGAGAAAAAAAAACACCGGGAGCTGCAAAACATGCGCGTGCGTGAGGGGGGGGAAGCTTGATTGAAGAGTTTAATTAAAAAGAAATAGAGGTTGCTGTGCATGAGTTCTCTCTCTCTCTCTCTCTCTCTCTCTCTCTCTCTCTCTCTCTCTCTCTCTCTCTCTCTCTCTCTCTCTCTTTGTCTCCCTCCCTCTCTCTCTCCCCTCCCTCCCTCTCCCTCTCTCCAATCTTCTGCTCACCTGGCAAGCTGGCTTCACACTGTTCTCCGACAAGCTGACACATATTCTTATTGGACTGGCTCTTTCCTGCCCTTGGTCTGCCAGTCCTCTTCCCCCACTCAGTGTGTGTGTGTGTGAGAGAGAGAGAGAGGGGGGGGCTGCTGCTGCTTTCTGCTACTTTCTGCTGCTTCCTGCTGAGACGCAGCAAAGGGAGGAGCCCCGCCCAATAAACTTGTCAGCTTGTCCTAGAACAGTGTGAGGCCACTCATTTTTACACACACACACACACACAGAGAGAGAGAGAGAGACAGACAGACAGACAGACAGAGAGAAGGGAAGTGCAAGTGCCTCTCTCTGTCTCTGTCTCTCTGCAAATGGCAGAGGAGGCTGGGAGCCGCAGGACAAGGCTCAAAGAGCCACATGCGGCTCTGGAGCCGCGGGTTGCCGACCTGTGGTATAGAGTCTCCTGCTTGAGCAGGGGATTGGACTAGAAGTCCTCTGAGGTTCCTTCCAACTCTGTTGTTCTGTTCTGTTCTGGATAGGCAGCCTGAGCAGAGGGGAAGATGGGAGAGAAGAGACTGCCAGTTTCTCCTCTCCCCCTAAGTGGGTGAGGTTCCTGATTCAAATCCAACCTTTGCCGGAAGCTCACTTGATGGCCTCAGCCTCAACTGCCCTGATGGCAAGAGGGAATCCTAGAAACTATTCACTTTGCTGGCTTGTGCCAAGGATGATTAAGAAACAGCTCTCAGCACTCAGGAAGTGCGGGTACATGCACACACACACACACACACGCGCGCCTTGTTACCTGATGTTGAGTTCTTCCAGTACATTGTTGCTTTTCAGGGCTGCCCCCAGAGCAGCTGCACCACTGTTGCCAAAGCCATTGTATGACAGATCAAGGACTCGAAGGAATATATTCGCCTGTGGAACAAGACAGATTGAGCAGCGCTTGGAGAAGATCCAAGGTGGAGAGTCCACAGGAGACAAGATGCTTTAATTCTATCATTCACACGGGCTTTTCTTCAGATCTCGCCTTACACTCCCTACTGTCACTAGTCCCTAATAAAAGTTGAGACAATGCCTGTTTCAAGAGTTCTGCTTTCTTGGGTGATTCGTTGAAGTGGGTCCTGACACAAGAGTTTTTCCCTTGCCACCTAGAGCTTCCAATCACAAGCCATACCCTGACGGAGAGTTCCCAGGCCTTCACCCACTCAAGATTTGCTTCCAGGTTCTTTCCAAACAGGCTACCTCTTCCACTGTTGAGGCCAGTGTTTCTCAACCTCGGCAGCATACAGTAGCTGCCTGGGGGTTTCTGGGAGCTGAAGTCCATTTGATTTCTAGAGCCACCCATCTCAGCAAACGCCACTGGGTGGCTCAGGATTCAGAAACATATATTATGATTAAAATCTTTAAAACATTTTAAAACAATAAAAGCAGTAAAAACCATTAAAACAATAATAAAAAAAAACATTAGGTGCCGCAGTTGCCCACCCCTGCGCTATACACTAGAACAGGGGTAGGCAACCTTGGCTCTTTTATGACTCGTGGACTTCAACTCCCAGAATTCCTGAGCCAGCATGGCTCAGCTTGGAAACCTCTTCCTTTCCCCTCAGCATGGCTGGCTCAGGAATTCTGGGAGTTGAAGTCCACAAGCCATGAAGGGGCCAAAGTTTCCCCCATGCGGGCTCAGGAATTCTGGGAGTTGAAGTCCATGAGTCATAAAGCGGCCTGTAGGCAACCTTGGCTCGTTTATGACTCGTGGACTTCAACTCCCAGAATTCCTGAGCCAGCATGGCTCAGCTTGGAAACCTCTCCCTTTCCCCTCAGCATGGCTGGCTCAGGAATTCTGGGAGTTGAAGTCCACGAGTCATAAAAGAGCCAAAGTTGCCTACCCCTGCACGAGAACAAGCAGGGCCAAACTATTTCAAACTTGTTTGCCCTTTAGGGGATGGAGGGATGAAACAAGATCTTATGCTTTATAACTTTATCCATGAGGAAACCTCTCGAACGAAGTCCCCTTTCCTACCCCCAAGCCTTTGGCAACAGCCGCTGCTCCTTGGCCCCGAAAGTTGTTCCAGCTGAGGTTGAGTTGCTTCAGGCCCACATTTTCCGCCATGGCCATCCCGAGGGCTTCTCCTGGTTCAATGGAGACGGAGACACGAGAAATGGGAAAGAGGCCTGAAACGTCAAACTGAGGGAGGCTTTGGAAAAGAATGACACCCCCTTGGATCCCACCCCACCTTTACAGTAGCAGCCTCTCCCCGTACAGGAGCCGTGGTGGTGCAGTGATCAGAATGAGTATGGCAGGCAAACTCTGCTGACCGCCAGCAGTTCGATCGTGACCGGCTCAAGGTTGACTCAGCCTTCCATCTTTCCGAGGTCGGTAAAATGAGGAGACAGATTGTTGGGGGCAAAAGGCTGACTCTCTAAACAGCTTAAAGAGGGCTGTAAAGCACTATGAAGTGGTATATAAGTCTAAGTGCTCTTGCTAATGCTCTTTCCTTCTTTCCTTTCCTTCCTTCCTTCCCTCCCTCCCTCCCTCCCTCCCTTCTATAGTGTACAGTGGTTAGAATGCGGTATTGCAGGCTAATTCTGCCCACTGCCTGCAGTTTGATTCTCACCAGCTCAAGGTTGACTCAGCCTTCCATCCTTCTGAGGCCAATAAAATGAGGACCCAGATTTTTAGAGGCAGTAGGTTGATCCTGTAAACCGCTTGGAGAGAGGGCTGTGAAACACTGTGAAGCAGTATACAAGTCTTAGTGCTATTGCTATCCAACCTAATGTGGATTTTTCTGCTGACGTTTCGCCAAGCAAGTCTTCTAGCCTCAGCAGAGATATCAGCTCACAGAGAAGAAGGGAAGGATAGTAGGATCTGCAAGCAGTAGGAAGAGGTGGTTCCCACAGAGCCAGGAACTCTGAGGAACACCTGCTTATGGGAATCAGCAGAGAGTTGCAGAAACAGATGACTCCCACAGGCTTGGCGCCATTCACAAAGCCGTTCCCCTGCATGCCGCCCATTTGAGGAGACCGGGGGCTCACGCAGAGGCTTTCAAGGGATCGACATCATGACATGGAGGGGTTTTATTCTCCTCCCTCAGGTCAGCCTAGCTCAGGAGTAGGCAACCTTGGCTCTTTTATGACTCATGGACTTCAACTCCCAGAATTCCTGAGCCAGTCATGCTGAGGGGAAAGGCAGAGGTTTCCAAGCTGAGCCAGGCTGGCTCAGGGATTCTGGGAGTTGAAGTCTGCAAGTCATGAAGGGGCCAACATTTCCTTCATGCTGGCTCAGGAATTCTGGGAGTTGAAGTCCACCAGTCATAAAAGAGCCAAGGTTGCCTACCCCTGGCCTAGCTGTTCCCACCACCAAGTTTAGAGCAGAGCTTCTTAAACTGTGTCGCGGAAGCCCAGTTCTCCTCAGGCACTTCACGTTTTCCACAGGTTGGACTGAAGATCTAAGACAAAGTTTTCGGTGGGTTTTGCAACCAATTTGGAGGAGACGTAACCTTTGTGGCATCTTTACTTTGACCCAACAGTTTGCGGCTTCTGGCTGACCTCGCTGTCACATAAAGCTCAGGGTAATTCTGGCCAGTGCTAGAAAGAAATTGCCAGATTTTCTCTGGAAATCTCAGACTGATAAGTTGATAATATACCCTACAATGCTGACGAAGAAACTCCACTTGCTAGGTTTTACGGGGGATGCTCTGGGAGATTATGGTCTCAAGGACGCCCAGTTTAGGGTAGTCCAACGGCTTGTGGACATAGATTTCCAATATTTAAGAGCCAGAGCCAATAAAACCTGCTCCCCTTTGATCTTCAGCCATTCTAATAATGATGGATTGAGGGTGGCTTCATATTTCTATACTCTAACCATCCCCAAGTATACAAGAGTCTTTTCCCTGGCCTGTTTCAATGTCTTGCCGTCAGCACTACTCGACGGGCGATTTAAGAGGCTCCCGTTTAGTGAGCGACTATGCCCCTGTGATAGGGCCGAAGTTGAAAGTGTGGAGTATGTCTTATCATACTGCCCTATGTACAACACAGGCAGAATTAAATTATTGTCTCTCCTTGGAATTGATCCCTCTGGTTCCAATGTTAGTAATTTGGTCTTATATTGTCTAGGGGATGGCTCCTCCAATATTACTACTCAGGTTTCTAAGTTTCTTTTAAGAGCTGTAACTATTAGAGGAGAACGTTGTAATTCCCTTTAGCCAAGGCTTCTGGTGTTTCATTGTTTGTGATTATATTTTTCTTGTGTTTTCTTCTGTTGAATTTGCATTTTGGTCTGTGACCGCAAAATAAAAATTATTATTATTAATATACCCTACAAGAAAATATTAGCAATCCTTCTTTGTATTTTTTTTCCCCAGAAAACAATGTCTCTGTAGCCTACTCAAAGATCTGACTTGGTTTTTTAATCTTTTTTCTGGACTGCTCTCCTCAGAAAAAAATTATCAGGAGTCAATTGTAATGCTTTTCAGCAATATGTGTGTATGTTTTTTATCTTCCCATTTCTAGCTTTGTCTCTCTTTCTCTCTCTCTAATATTCATATTATTTTGACTTGTTAATTTATATTGCTAGTCCACGTATGATATGCCATATGCTAAATAAATTATTTCGATAACCTTTTGATACTGCTTTTTATTACTCCTACACAATTTTAGGATTACATATCAATAATTCTAGTTTCAGGAAGCAATTTTTATGGTAAACCAATGGGTAAAACTCTTAAAAGGGCAGGCAGAAACTTAAGTGAGCCCAACTTTCTAATCCCTACCTTAATTTTCTTTTTCGCTTCCTCAACATTGGTAGCTGTTCCCTATTTTCTGCATACTCTCTCTTCTTTTTGTCCCCGCCTGCTCTCCATCAAATCACAAAGTCTTCTTCAAAACATAAGGAGAAGAAAGAGATCGGACTGGTGGGAAGTCAAAACCTCGCGTGGGGTCAGGCATAGAAGGAGATTCCAAGCCACAGCAGGTAACAAGGCAAGAAAGAGGGAGGGAGGGAGGGCAGGAGTCACAATCCAGCAATTCTTTCCCCCCCAACAAAAGTAAACCCTAATGGTTAGTTCTTAGCTTATGAAAACCACAGCTGGTTCTTGATTTAACAATTCATATTCCGCATAAAGGTATGCGGTGCTCTAGAAACCAAAGGGCCATGAATAGACAAATTGCATGTGTAGGTGTGTGTCTTTCTCACAGGTGCTACAGAGCTTCCCACACGACAGCCAAAAACAATATTTCTATGACATTTACAGTACCTGCTGGCTCTCCGAGCCTGTTATGACTCAGATCAAGGTGCTCCACTTTCTGATTGGTCACTAAAGCGTCTGCCAGGTATTTGGCTGCCCTGTCGTTTAATTCATTTCCTGAAAGTTTCAAGGACACCAGAATTGGATTTTCCTGAAGCACTGTAGACAGAGCTTCTGTCCCTTTCACTCCGACTTTATTCTCTGATAAATCAAGTTCTGAAAGAGAAGGAGGTTGATCTCTCAGCTGGCTCAACATACAGAATCCCCCGGAACCATTAGGCCAACATGTCTTTGTTCCTCAATCTCTACTTTGGCCAGGAATGAAAGCTGGTCAAAGGCCACAACTGGTTCCGTGGAGAATCCTTGGAGAAAGACACTCCTCAGCTCAACCCATCAAACTGGGAGCGGCACATAAATGTTGTCAAGCAAATAAAGAAATCTACAAACCACAATCTCATGATGCTTGGGTCGCCCCTAATAAAAGAGGACTGCATTCTTAAGACCAGTTACAACAAACTTCAAGCTTTACTGCTGTATTATATGAAAAAGCAAATCTTTGCTTTTAGAAACTGGAAGTTATTTAGAGGGGATCTAACAACGGTTTAACGGCAATCCCAAACATCTCAAGGCAGATGGATTACATCAGTGGTTCTCAACCTTTTTAATGCCGCGACCCCAACCGGTCGTAAGTTGAGGACTAAACCGGTTGTAAGTCGAGGACTAAACCGGTCATAAGTCGAGGACTAAACCGGTCGTAAGTCGAGGACTACCCAACCGGTTGTAAGTCGAGGACTTTCCCTGCCCGGGAGCGCCGCACATGCGTGGTTCCGCCCCCTGCGCCGGCCGAGGCGTAGCTGGCAAGCGGCAGAGACGGAGCAGGCCGACCACCAGCTGGCCCAGCCCAAGGGAGGTAAGGCACCCACCAGAAAAGGGGAAAAAATGGCGGACAAAAAAAATGGCAGACAAAAAAAATGGCGGACAGCCTTGCTTGGCGACCCCCATGAAATGGTCAATCGACCCCAAATGGGGTCCCGACCCACAGATTGAGAACCACTGGATTACATGGACTCTCCGTTTTCGCCCCCTGAAGCAATTCTCAGAATCTCCCAGGCACCTGAAATGTAGCAGTTCTCCTTTAACATCTCTGCCATCGCCACTGCGCCGTCTCCATCCAGCCCGTTGTCGCTCAGGTTCAGCTTCACAATGGAGGTGTTGCTGGTCAGGGAAAGAGCGAGAGCTTTGGCTGCCTAAAAGAAGAGGCAGAGGAGGGACGAGCTATGAGGGCAGCGGTGCTGAGATCTAGCCCAGTCCTCCGGCAGGAGTCAAGGTTTGGGGTCCTGGGGGAGGCAAACTGCTGCCTGGGAGCTGGCATGGCCTTTTTCAAATTTTGCAAGTGGCTCTGCCAAAACTGGAAAGCCATTAGCCAGTGGCCTTTTTAGACCCCCAGCCAAGCAACACCTCTTTTCTGCAGAAATCTTAAGAAGACAGAACTCTTGGAATATTTCTTCCAATAGGCATCTTTATTAAGAGAAGATGGTTGCAGGCATTCTAGACAGGACCTGGGGCCCAAGTCCTCCCATTCAAGGTTTTAAGTGGTCCCAAGCAGCCCAACCACCCCACCGTCCTTCCAGCGACAATCCCAGGCATTACATTTCCACCCCCTTTTCCTCACGGCCGGCGGAAGGGAAACTTCAGAGAGGAGTAGATGAAAGCTGATGGGCCCTATTGTTATGATCAGTCCTTTTGGTGCGATCCCCATTCAGTCCCTTTGAAGTTGTAAGGAAGGAAGTGAGAGCCATAAAACCCCTTTGCTCATCCCCCTTCCCTTTCGTAGTATGACAGAATCCAGAGAGGGCAGAAATGGGGTTTTCCATAGTTGATAACTAGAGATGAAATATAACTGGATTCTGACAGGAGAGGTGCTGAACCAAGATAGCCCCATGCAGCTTTGCCTTTAGCCTCACCCACCACATGCTCCAGCTCGCCTCCCAGGGACTTGTGCCGCAGCTGCTGGTGGATTATTTCAGCAGCTATGCTGAAACGTAACACGAAAACGAGGTCACCTCATCTGTGGCCTGGAAGCGTGGGCAGCAAAGCTCTACTGCCACATGAGCTCATCTGGCCTCCTGTTTCCCATATAGATCAAGCAGAGCCCTGGGGGGGGAGTGGGGGGGCTGCACCATATGCCAGCAGCACCTGCTGCCTGTGAATCCATTAAGTCCCATTTAGCTGGGGTGGCCAAGGCCCTGGAGGCTGTTTTGCCAGGAACCGCAGATCTCGCTTAAAGCGCAGAAGCATCATCTCTGGAGACAAATGGTCACAAACTGAAGCGAAAGTGACCGAATGAAGGACTGGGACCCTCTTCTCCTCTACGTCCTTCATAAGGGGCCGCTCTGGCTCTCCTCATCAAAGGTTTAGTGGGCAGTGTTCCGATAGAAGGCTGGCCCCTGAGCCTGCTCTGCCATCTTAGTAGTGCCAGGCCAGGATCTCTTTACCACTGTAAGGACCCACCCCACTTTGCATCTTAAGAAGACAGAACTCTTGGAATATTTCTTCCAACAGGCATCTTTATTAAGAGAAGATGGTTGCAGGCGTTCTAGACAGGACCTGGGGCCCAAGCCCTACGGTTCAAGGTTTTATGTGTTCCCAAGCAGCCCCCCACCCCACCCCACCGTCCTTCCAGCGACAATCCCAGGCGTTACATTTCCACCCCCTTTTCCTCACGGTGGCGGAAGGGAAACTTCAGAGAGGAGTAGATGAAAGCTGATGGGCCCTATTGTTATGATCAGTCCTTTTGGTGCGATCCACATTCAGTCCCTTTGAAGTTGTAAGGAGGAAGTGAGAGCCATAAGACCCCTTTGCTTATCCCCCTTCCCCTTCGTAGTATGACAGAATCCAGAGAGGGCAGAAATGGGGGTTTCCATAGTCGATAACTAGAGATGAAATATAATTGGATTCTGACAACCACTCTGTCATTTCACTTGGTCTATTTTGTTTCTCTATTTTACGTTGACCAAATTGGTTGCTTATGCTTTGCTACTAATGATTGTAATTTTCTTTAGATGTGTTTAAATTTTTCTCCATAAGACGCCTTGAACATTTTTAATTTTTTTTTTTTTTTCCAAAAATTTTTTTTTATTATTTTCAACATAAAAAAAAAAGCAATCACAAGTACATCACAATTAAAAACTCCCCCCCACCCCCCACCCGGACTTCCCAAACCTAATCCCAGGATACTATTCATCTAAAAGTAACCTTATACTAATATCCCTAGCTCCACAAAATATAATTCTACATAAGTAGGTGAAATATATGTATATATATAAAAAGAAAAAAAAATTTTTTATCTAAAAACCTAACCTATATTCCACCATTTTATACTTATTTTGAATATAAACAATCCATCTTCTCCATATTGATAAAAATTGTTCGTTTGAATGATCCTTCAAATAAGCCGAAATCTTTGCCATTTCAGCAAGATGCGAAACCTTCACTCTCCAGTCCTCTATTGTAGGTAAAACTTGACTCTTCCAATTTTGAGCTATCAGCAAACGGGCAGCAGTTAAACAATACAACATCAAATTCGTTTCTTTTACATCCAGATTATGTGTAATACCTAGGAGAAACAACT